AATAGGAACTTTTCGGTCATTAAATCGTTTACGTTTTTATTGCGAATAATTGCGATAATACAAAGAAACGATTATACACGTGATGTCAGGTGAAGCCTCATGGAGTTCTATAAAAATTGAACTTCTCTCTATATTAAGTATATTATATTAATATAAAATTTTGTCGAAAGGAAATTTTATAATTTTAATCTTCTAAATTGTGATAGGTACTGTGAATTTTTACGAAACGGAACTCTTAAATTTTAATTTTAACCAACCGGAACGGACGCAATGGTTATTTTACGAACCGGAACGCCGTTAACTAACCTCCGGTCCATTTCGAGTATAAATATTTATACAATATATAAAACCATAAAATTCATATTTCTGGTCTAGGAAATCGATCTAAATTTAAATTTTTTTGTAAAAACGCTTAAATATGCACTTATAATTAAAAAATGGTCAAATATGCAAAATATGCAACTATAAATTTTAAATATGAACTCGTATTACCATGAAACAAATTTCTATATTACTTAGCTCTGTTTTGAATGATTATTGAAAAACATGCAAACACTTACAAGTCCCTAGCTCTACTAATCATAGAATACAGATTAGACTTGTGTAACTTGTCTACAGGGACCCCACAAAGGGGAGGGGTCCGGAGTTCAAGCAAATAATTAAAAATTAATTCCATGTATATTTAAAAAATGTCGGGGGCAGGATTTAGTTCTTAACCAGGGCCAAAAATACGATGTGGAAGGCCTGCTTGTCTTAACGTCCAACAGTAAGTAGTTCAAGTTGTTGTAATTCTATACAAATACACCATGTCCGTGACAAACCTCCATTTTATATCCAAAATTCCAAAGAGATTGCTGAATACAACGCCACGAAATACAAATCATTATAAATTATTTTCAATGGACGTGATGCTCAATCAGCAGCTGATCGGAGTTCTTGTTTTCCTGTGATCAGGATAGATAATAAAAGTATATTGTCTTTGGTGATCAGAATTCAGAAGTACGAAGCGAAAAACTAATCACGAAAAAACCCCATGGGAAATTTATTATCTATGCCTATAATATTAGAGATAATATTAATTATCAATTATTAAAGATAATAATATTTATATTTTATTGTTTGGAAGCTTTTAATAATACCAAGTTKTAAGTTGTAATTAKATAATAATAATATTATATTGTTAAAAGTTAAAATGTTAACATTTTCGTTCACGGCCTGTGAACTGTAGTCTGTCCAAAGTCTAGGCGTCTAATTTATAAAAAAAAAATAAAATGTTTAACTTTTAACTTTCAATTTTCATTTAAACGTTTATGAATGTTACATTTCTAAATAAATATAATAAGTTATTTAAATTTGTTCATTATCTATCTACTGAATACAAAATTATAAAAATTGCATAATGAATGTTGAAGAAAGACGTGAAGCRAGACGCAAAAAAATATTAGAGAATTCAGAACTTAGACTTAAAAAAATTACTTCCATAATACCTAAACAAAGTCTATTAATTGAAAAATCAGAATTTATAAAAGACAAACCAGGTAATAAATATTTTAGTAATATATTGGATTGATTTTAATTTTATATTGTAATTAATAAATTAAATATTCATAAATTTTTTTTCAGCAAAAATCTAATTGTTTTGAATTATTATAACAGAATACCCGCATTTTATTCTTTTATAATAAAAATATATATAATATATCAGAAGTCTGAAAATTGCCTTGATATATGTATCTCAATAAATTTCTAAAATATTAAATAACGTTTTTTTTTTTTTAGAAAATTGTACACGGAATWCTGAATTGCGCTATTCTCCTGTTCCAAAATCGCTTAAAGAAAATGTGATACCAACAATTCTTGAAAACCAACCAATTTTTAACTGTGAACAAAATAATTTCAATCCAAGATTACATTCCAAAGATAAAAAATATGAAATTAAATTTTCATATATTACAATCTTACATATTGTATTATCTCAAATTGTTTTAGTATTATTTTACTATGACTTAGGACATTTATTTGGCAATGTAAGTAATATATTATAATTGAGTTTTAAAATGGATATTTCAGTTGTATCATAAAAATAGAATTTTTGTTTATACTCTGAGGATAAAGAAACTGTTCAGTGTTGGTTTTAAATTGTTACCTATATTTTTTAATTACCTTGATACTCGAAAAGTTTCATATTATTTTATTTATTTATTTGATGTTAAATATCAAGTAATATATATTTTTTTTTTCCAAAATATTTCTAAAACAACATTGTTATCGGATAATTGCTGATATCATAATATTATTTACTATGTATGTCAGCATTGCTTTATTTATGTTTTTACATTATTTTTTTTAAATACTTAACATTTTAACACTAAAAATAAACTCTATCACTTCAGATTTACCATTTTTGTAAGTTTAGTGCTTCTTAAAGTTGTTTGGGTAATGTATGCCAGTAAAATGTCAGCTTATCTCTATATTAGATGTGTCATTTCAAGTGTCTGCCATGTTACCAACGCTGTTAACTTATTTTAAAATATTGTAAAATATTTATTTTGAAAAAATTAATTACCACATTAAGCCAAATAAAAAAAAGGCATTAAAGGTCCTTTAGCAAATTATTTTATTCTTAGTTACATTTAATTATTAACTATGTTTCCATTAATTGTACTTAACTGTTTAAAAAAATATAGTACAGTGAACGATTATCTGGTGGCAGAGTGATAAATATAAATGGTGAACAAAAACAGAATATTAAAAAAAAATGTATTAAAAGAAAGACTTTATATTTTGTCATTATTAATTTAATTAATTGATTAAAAATTAATTTTATTTGATTATCTTAAAATTTGTAAAAAATATTTTGTTTTCATTTGTTTATTATTTCCCCATCACTACAACTTGTAAAATATATCACTCCGCCACTGGGTCACCATCCATAGTGCCATGGTATTTTTTATCAGAAAAGTAAATGTTTCACAATTTAACACATTAAATAAACCAATTTTATAATGTGACTTGTTAGTTGTTTTCAAATATTTTATTTGTTACCACAATATGTTTTAGTCATAAAATTACATTTAATTATGCCAACATTGCAGGAATTTTCTCTAAAAATTAATTTTGATCAATTTATTAAAATAAGCTAATAACATTTGTGAGATAGGTACACTATAGAGCAATAGTTTTTATGCTTTGAACGTAAAAATTATAAGTGCCCAGTATCTATATTAAAAAATGTTAAACCCAGATTTATTTTTACAATTATAGCCTTGATAGTATTAGATATTTTCTATTAGATTACATTATTATGAACAACGAACAAGGCTAGATTCAGTCTCTATATAATTTAACATTATTTTATATGCATTATGATTAGGTAACTATTATATTGATACTGTATAATATTTTTTCGTTTGATTTTTTCTAGTCAATAGTAGTGCCATTTCTACTCAGTGCAATACCTGAATTATGTACATCAAAAGAACAACATGATAATATACACTTAATTGTTTTATTAATGATGGGTTTTTCTCAGAATTTGGCAAGAAATATTTCTAGATATTTCAAATTGGCAAGTATAACAGGAAAAAGATTTTGTATATATATTTTTTGTTTTACATGTTCATATGCAATATTCACTAATCTATATTTTGATGTTAAAAATGCTATACAATAACAAATTTATGTATTGGTAAAATGTAGGTATGTTTTATTTTTGCATTATGGTATTCATAATTATAATGTACCACAGTTTGTTGCATTAAAATGTTGGGCCATTGGAATATATATTTGAAAGTTTTTAGCATAAAAGTTTATTATAAAAATAATTGTTGCAAATTGTTGTTATATAATATAATTTTTCAATATAAATATTGATACATTAATTAAATAAATAAATAAAATTGATTGCATTAAATTTMATTTACAAAATGTGTCTTAACTTATTGTTAATCAGGGCGGAGCGAACCTACCTAATAATCTCACCCGTCGATTAAAAAGGCGTTGGTRCAAGGATTTATTAAACCCATGACACCATTGACATATAAGGGTTCTGTCACTGGACAGCCTCCCTCTTCATATTTTACCATAATGTAAAGGTTTTGTAAAAAAAAAGAAATCCTATTTGCTTATTATACTTAAGTTACAGATTGTAAATAATTTATTTTAATAAAAAAAAGAAAAACTTATTCTTAACATTTTATTTTCATATGCTCTCAAATATTAAATCAATATTTTATACTTCTAGTTGGCTTTACCAAACTGTAGTTGCAATGTTTAATTTATAATACAATAGTGCCTTTCAATATGTTTTGATAATTGTAGGTATATATTATGTAACATCAAAATAATGCGCGACACGTCATTTGATCCGATAAATAATATCCGGCGACAAATGATCCGGTAGATAATAACCCGGCAACAATATAACCCGACATCAAAAATATCCTGTGACAATGATAACCAGCGATAATCAGTTTTCTGGTTTTCGTGTTGTATATAACACATTAAAACCTGTAAGGTTTTATTAAACGTTTATTGACTAAAGTTTTACTTCTAATAAAATTAAATATACCACTCACATTTGTTAAGAGTCAAAAAGGCAAAAAAACTTTTATTATTACATGGTTATTTAGTATTTACATAATATACATCAAAAATACAATGAAAAATCAAAAAATTGTGTGGCATTGCACGGACTATAAAAAATTTTTTCTTGTAAAGTCCAATGTCATACTACAACAGACAGTGAATCAGGCATTAAATTATTTTTAATTAAATGCAATTATAATTTTAAAATATCTATAAAATCATTAATTCTGAATGTATGATAATTATTACAATGTTAACCGCAATGGTTATTATTGCTACATTAATTTAATTCTTAAATAAAGATTTCAAAACACCGCTTGAAAACTTTTAAATATGCTTGCATATATGCACTAAAACCTAACAAAATATGCTTTAATAAATGTAAAATGTGCTCTCATTTTTCAAAAAATATGCCAAAAAACCACTACAATTTAATTTTAATTTTTTGTTTTTTATTGTCTAACAATTGTCATCCGTATGAGTTGATATCAGTAAATTAATTTGACCCCGACTTCGATAGTACAATAGTCAATAATACACATTAAATACCCGACTAAAAAAAGAAAAGTTTTGATAAAACTATACAAGTCATAGTTTTAGATTACCTGACAAAAAAAATGCCTTTTTTGTTTTTTTATTATATTATTATTTTAATATTTTACTAATAATAATTGCTAAATAAAATACAATTAATAATAATTTGTATAACTAGAGCCAGGATTTGTATATTTTTATACAATTTTTATATATTATTTTGGATTTGGCATTCGTACCTGTACACAATATAGCATATGCATTTGAAGATCTTATAGAGTCAGAATACTACATAGAAAATGAATCTCTTTTCCAGCCCATCCTGAACTTCTTCGAGGACACTTGGTTTGGACGTCCTGTATGGAGGAAAAAAAGAAACCCAATTTTTCCATTAAATATATAGAATGTATAAAAAAATGTTTTAATGAAATGAACAAGAACAAATAATGCAGTAGAGGGGTGGCATAATGCATTTAATTCTTCCATAGGGGTT